GCATGGCCGGATATAACACTCTTAGTTGTTAAATTATATAATTCAATGAAATACATTTGTGAAGAAATATCTTCATAAGGTAACCTTTAAAGGAAAATAACGGAAGGAAATTTATATCCGGCCCACGCCTAAATGGCTGGGACGGCTTTAATTTTCAACAGAGATAGAACTTTTATTGGAAGTTTCAATTAGATATACATACATACATATGTATCTTTTTAGTAAAGTACATTTTCAAATGCTTTTTTAAAGGAGAAAATGATTAGGAATCAGAAATTTTAAGTATTAATATGTTTATGAAATTAGAAATTTTAAAGATAATTTTTTACAATTCCAGCCTAAAAAATTTAGTTAGTAGTTATTATGAATGTAACATATTTTGTCTGCAACTGATTGAATAAAACAAGTTTAAAAACCTCAAACAAAAGGATAAATAGATTTTTGGTACTTTGTAATGCTTTTTGTTTGAATTATTCAAAATCTAATAAATGTGATTTGCAGGGACCGTAACTGTTATGACTTTTATCATAAGTCACAAAATAAGTGTTATTTTTGACTTTTATTTTTTTGAGCAGAAAAAATAGTTATTTTTTTTTTCGAGAATAAATAAAAGTTATTTTTGATTTTTATTTTTTCGAGCAGAAGTAAAAGTTATTTCTTGACTTTTTTTTTGAGCAGAAATAAAATTTATTTTTCGAGCAGTTATAAAAGTTATTTTTTGATTATTGGAAAATAAACGATTCTAAAGCGAAAACTTTTTTTCTGCTGAAATAATAATATTTTTTTCTGCTCGAAAAAATAAAAGTCAAAAAATAACTTTTATTTTTGCTCAAAAAATAAAAGTAAAAAATAACTTTATTTCTGCTTAAAAATAAAAATAAAAAATTTGAAAAGCATTGCATTTTGTTTTAAATTTAGTTCCAGATGATCAAATGGTATACTTGATGTTGTTTTCCTATATTTTCTTGTGGTTGCTTTTTTTATTTAAAAATTCAAAAATAATTATTATTTTCGGTCCCTGGTGATTTGTAGTAATCTTACAAAAAATTTATATGCACAGTATTTTATAAAATCTACTAGCATACCCTGGGTGCTTCGCTACCCTAACCAAAATTAAACATACAAAATTTTGTTTTATAGAAAATTAAAATTAATTAAACATTTTTTAATGTTTCAGTTTTTACGTTCAAGATCACGTGAATAAATTCGCATTCAGTAAGAAGCTCGTATTTTTAGTTTCATTCGTTTAGCTTCCACATTATAGAATATTTCGAAAGTACTATTTGAAAAATACCTCTTATAGATTCTCATTTAATCAAAAATTTTGTGTTTCTGTGTTCAATATTATATACAATTCAAAATATATAATTTGATGAATGAATAAGTACCAAAAGTCCCTTACAGAATATTATTCAGTCAAGACCATGTATGTTATAATTAACGTTCCTAGGTTGAATATTTTAGAAAATTAAAAAAGTACCATTTATGAGATAAAAAGTACTAAAAAGTTCTCTCTTAAAGAATCTTATTCAATTAGGACCGTGTATGTTTAATAATCATGTGTTTTCAATTCATATTAAAGAACATACAAATAATATCATTTGAAGAAAGGTAAAGTACCAAAAGTGGAATGAATTTTACCTTAGTGGAAAGTAAAAATAGTACAATTTTTCCCCTTTTCGCTTCGAAATTACGTTTACAAAATATTCCGTATATAAATCTATTTACCACAGATAAAACTCAACTATTCAAATCTGCATTCATTTGTTCCAGAAAATTGTGTTTTCAAAGAGTAACAAACAATTTACTCGAATTTGGTCCTATATAGGCCTTAGTACTCGAATTCCAAAATAATATACCAATAGCTTATTTTTTGTGAGTAAGAAAACTAATTTTTAAAATTTTATAGAAATGGGCTCAATGAGTTCGAATAAAATTTCCCGTTTTCCCCTTTTTGGTACTTTTTTCCCCAGTGAAACGGCAAAAATTTAGCTTCAACAAATATTACAGAGTTAGTCCGTAATTTAATAGGAATACTTCAATAAATCGAAAAAGTTTTCTTAATGGGCTAAAAAAGTAACAAAAAAAAGTTTTCTCCCTTATACACCCAAAAAGGACTGAATTTAAAAAAAGTACGAAACAGGTGTCTCCTAATTTTGAGATATGTATATTCAAAATATTTGCAAAAATGTTATTTTGTTTATGAGTTAAAAAGTTATAAAGGGCCAAAAAAGGTACCAAAATCACCTTTGTTACACATTTTCACCCCTTAAAAGTACGAATTTCAAAAAAGTACCAGATACCCATCTGCTTATTTTAAGAGTAGATACAGGTGCATTTAAAATTTTTCTTGTATCACTAATATTAGGTAAGATAAATAAGAAAACCTGTTTTACTCGTTTTTTCCCCTAAATGTAGAAATTTCCAAAAATTTCATGATTCTAGGTTCAGCCGTTTGGGCTGTTCGATGATGAATAAGTCAGTCAGTAACGCTGAATGTGTGTTTTTGGTAAATTTAGTGAAATTTGTTCTAAATAATATTTTTTTAATTGTATATTTTTATTTCGACATATTAATTTGAGGGGTAAAAAGCAGTCAATGTAATTTACATACATTGATCTATAGATCTAATATTATAAATCACTTAAAATCCCGAGCTACGTCGGGTATAAAAAGCTAGTAATGATTATTTTCGGACAATTTTTGTTGATTTCCCTTGCTTAGTTTCAACGTGAGAGTACTTTACATAGACGGACATAGCTAGATCGACTTAGAATTTCATAAGGACCCAGATATTTCATGGTGTTATACACGGAATGACAAACTTATATATACACTCTATCACCACTGATGGTGGTGGAGGGTATAAATTGGAATAGAATTTCAAATACAGCTCTTTTTTATATAAAAAATGTTCAAATTTCGTGCGAAATTTCGATCGGTTTCTTGAAAATTTTTTCCTTCACATAATCTTACAACACTTTTCATGAACTGTTCAAAATAGAAGCCCCATTTAAAAAAGAAAAAATATTTATTTCATGTACTTCGAAGAATGATACATATGTATGTAGAGGTTCCCAAAAAGTATACATGTTTTGATTTTGTATTAACTGGTGTTAAAGTTAAACCCCATCGGATAACGGGGACCCGTACCGGAAATCGATGGAAAATTGTAAAATAATATTCTTGTATTTCTTTAAAAATTGCGCCATTAAAATATTGTTTTTGCAACAAGTTATAAAATATTAATAACAAAGGTATAGGCATTTTCTTTTCACATATGTATATGTAGCAAAAACCACAAATTAATTCATATTTTAATCGCTCATTTGTGTAAATATTTTTGTTTACATCATTTCCGCATGCAAAACAAAGACCAAACAATGCGGAAAAGTCTTAGTTTTTTTTTAATATATGATTTGAGAAATTGTAAATAACTTTGTTCGTTGTCCCTGGATATAAATATTTTATATCTCATTGGATAGAAAATTTTCTCTAAAAGATCAGATTTGATCGAAATTTTAAGAAATGATAATTTTAATTTCACAATTTTTGAAGAAATCAAAAGGTGTCCTATTATTTACCCACACTTTTCAATTGATTTCCGATCAGATTTGATCGAAATTTTAAGAAATGATAATTTTAATTTCACAATTTTTGAAGAAATCAAAAGATGTCCTATTATTTACCCACACTTTTCAATCGATTTCCGGTGCGGGTTCCCGTTATCCGATTGGACTAAAATTTAACACCAGTTAGATTTAGACGAAATATTAAGAATAAATAAGACCCAACCAAACAAAATCGATATTTTTTGGGCACCTCTAATGTACATTTTGAAGTGTAAGTTCGAAAAACAAAACAAAAATGGAGGTATAATTCAATATTCCTTCGTCAAAGTGGTTGGTCACTAGACAAAACGTAGTAAAGGAAAATGTAAACGTTACAATTAGTATGTTGAATTAGATCCGTGCTGTTCGCACAAAGGACAGAACATTAGCGCTTACCATTTCCCTTATTGACGGTTAAGCTTATTAGCCGAAGTAAATGAAATAAATTTTATTTTTCTTAGGAGTTTCGAAAGTAAGTCAAATTTTATCAGGCTCGGACTTTGTAGCAGCATTTTAAAGAAGAATGCATGAAATTTATTCTTTATATTAGAAATAGTGAATTAAAAATGCAAATAATTTTTTCTCGCTGCACGCAAGCCGGACCTGGTAAATACTTTGATATATACTTATATTTAAGAATATATATTGTTCAATATTTAACTTTTCTTTATCATATAGAATATGATGACAACGTGTAGCCACTGCCAGACCAAGACGCATGTCAGAGGTTAATACTGCCACAAAAATACAGCCCATACCGGAGGGTTCATCATTCTTCTTATTTTCCACAAACAAACAGGTTTTGTTTTTTCTTTCAATTAAGCATAATTTTTATTTAAATGTTTAATACTATGTAGTAATAGTTATAACATTTAATATTAACTTTATATTAGCATATAAGAGAAAATCTTTATTCAAAAGGCAACTTTATTCTCAGGAATTTTTTACTGTCAAAATTTCTAGGAATAAGTTTCAGTCATTATGTAACTTTGCTATGTGGTTGGATGAGATTTGATGACTTTTAAATATGTATATGTGCAAAATCAAAAATGTTTAAGAATCGATGAAACTGAATTAACATGCCTCGTATTTTGTTAACCTTTCAAAATATGTATGTAATTGTTTTGATACATTTCGGTATAATATACCAAAACATATGTAGGTCCAAATTGCAGACCACTAGCATTTTATCTTTCAACTTTTTAAACATTTAAAAATGAAAAATGCTTTGAAACTTGCCAAAGCCATCCTTTATAAAAAAGAGTCAGAAGACATTGGACATTCAAAAATCCTTATAATAATTTCATTAATACTTTTGGTGCAGATACATACGGTTGTAAATAATTTAACCAAGCTTTTGCATTTTTTTTCAGTTTTTTTTAATAGTCCATGTGCGCGCATTAATCAAATTAAATTTTAGCTGTGGTATTTAATAGATGTAGTAATTTCACGCAATTTAAGGTATATCTTGTTGATGTCAGAGATCTAAGGACAGAGCAGGGCTTTTACAATCTTGCGAAGAATAGGCGTAAATCTTTTAAAAATGTGAAATCTTGAATAGCTATTTACGAATACAGTTGTAATACTGCGTAAATTTCATATCATTATAATTGACATCTCGTCAAATGCGCATTAAAAAAGTTGTAAGTGCGAACTTTTTATGATAATTTTAAAATGTTTTGCAAAATTTAAATTTCGTTTTCATTCTACCGGAAGTTATTAACAATTAATCTAGAGTCCTCCGGGAATAAGGACATTGTATGGGAGGCGTATGAAATTGTCGACCGATTCCGCCCATTTTTGAATAAAGCTTTCATATAGAATTTTTTTGCTAATTTTCAATACCATATCTTCCATAACAGGTCCATAAACAAGTTATAGACTTCATCTAAGTTAGCTCCATAGGTGTAAACAACTGCTAAATAATTTCTAAATGGAAGCAAAATTTAAATTTTTACAATTTATTAAAAATCTAAAACTATTTAGATGGGTTTCAAAAAGCTTACAGGTGGAGGGTATTTATGATTCGGCATAGCCGAATATAGTACTCAAACTTGTTTTATTAAATATTAATAAACTAGATTTTTATACCCGGCGTTGCCCGGGGTTTTGAAGTGGGCTCATAACATTATACTTAATATTATCCAGTCAGAGTAAACTAAAAATCTGCTTTAAGTCCATAGATCAATTTCTGAAAATTTTCAACATCCAGAAATATAAAAATTTCGGTGATTTAAATAACATAACATAGCATTTCCGAAATAAAAAATTTTACTCATTTTGCCACTCACTAAGAGATTACTTCATAACATTGTTGCCCAAAATCGCGATTCCCTATCACGCGAGATAGGGCAAGAAATTTCTGCTGACGTTGCGTTGACACACCTACACTATAAGCTTACTTGTGTATTTTCTTATTTGAGCATGTGTTAGTTGAATATCTCTCAACTTGCAAAACAAAATCAACTCGGTTGCTGATCAGCATTTGTCGAAGTAAGATCTGTACGCAACTTTTTAAAATCCACACAGAAATACAACAACAAAATGTTGAGAAAGCCGAATTTATATAAGTGAATGAGAGAGCACAGCTGATAGTTTTTTATATATGAACTTTAATGTACGCTGTCTGTCAAAATCCATAATATCAATTTGACAGTTAGAATATCCTTTTTAGTTTGCAGTGATTTTATTAGTACAGTTTTATTTTTGGTTACATTTTGTTCTCTGCTGCTTACCAATACAAATTAATGTGTAACAGTATGTGTATGGGCAACACTGCTTCATAATTATTTTTTGCCAATTTATAAAGCTAAAAGATTCCAAAATTATAATTTTAAGAGCGGGTTTTTGAGTTGGCAATTAAATGCCAATTAATAATCAGATTAGTTAATTTAATCTGATGTTAATCCCCTTTGATTTTTTGAGTACAAGATTAAACTTTGCAGTGTTGCTATACAAAACAACCGAAAATGTCACTTTTTGTTATCAAACCAATGCATGTTTTATAAAAAAGAAGAAGACAATTGTAAATTTAATATGAAAATTAATGAAAACTTAAATTTAAAACCAAAAAAATATATATTTTGGGTGTGCATAATTTATACTAATCAATAAATAGAACATTTTAATGTTTATATTTATAAAAAATTGTATTAATTTTTTTGCATCGTCTGTTAACACTTTTGCATTTCATGCTTAAGTTTAAACCACCTCCATTGGGTGCTTAAACTTGCAAACAAAATTAACTAATTGAGTACACAAAGACAACATTCGAGGATTAATTTAATCGCTAATCTTTCACCTAAAGATTGGCCCTAATACTATTTAGTTAGGTAAAACTATAATATACATTTTTAACTTAGGAGATAGAATAATTTTTGACTTAAAGCATAAAGTGCTAATTTTTCACTAACTTCTTCATGTTTCAAAAATGCTGAAGGTCTCCTTAAGAGGAAACTCCTTACAATTTCTTTGTGATCTTATAAAGCTATAAAAGAAATTTCACTGAATTTGAACAATATTTATAAAAAGTACCAACACAATACCAAAAATACTACCCATAAATATGTTAAATGTTCTTGTATCACACCAAAAATCGGCAAAACTTAGTTTGATGACACTGCTGATTTTCATAATGATCGGTCCTCATTTGATCACATCCCGGTAAATCCAAAATGTATAAGGGTAGTCCCATATTAACCACCTACCCCCATATAACCCTCTTTAGAAAATCCCTTTTTTGTCAATAAAATGTTAAAATAGTTATGAATTAAGGTAAAAATTAATTTAAAATGCTTTATTATTAAAAAAAATAATAAACATTTGTAACATAATCACCGGTGTATGGTCGACCATGCCCAACTATAAATTGTTACTGGTTTATTTATTTGTTTTATTTATTAATTGAAGTAGTTTGAATTTTCTGAAAATATGCATTTATTGAGTCCCTTTACGCAGCAAATACATATTTCCCTTTCTTACCCGTTTTCCCCCTAAGACTGGGATTTCTAAATATATACATATGTCTGAGACTATCAAAATCATAGTTTATAATATTTTGGCTTTAGAATAGAAAAAAATCGTTCTTAAAGCACAAGATTACTAATCTTGTCAGATTTTCGCCATTTGGCCTATTTTTGTCCCCTTCCGGTCCAATTTTCGCAACGGCACTTTGCTAATATATATTTCTAACGAATTAAGTAGTTTAATCGAAAATGCTTTTGCTTAAGGATAGACAAAATCAGTATTTACTATCAAAAGTACTAATTTTGCGCCTTTTTCACTCATTTTTATCCCTTTTTTGACCCCTCCTAGTCCAAGTTCTGAACACTCTCCAAGTATAGATCTAACTATGGTCCAGCCGTTTAGGCATGATTGACGAACAAACAAACAAATAAACAAAACGAACAGACTTACAGCTTAATTACAATTGGAACCGCTGTCGACAAACCACACAAAAAGAGCGAGCGACGAATTAAAATAAGGCGACTCACAGTGGTATAGGAAAAAAAAAAGAGGGAAATAATTCGGTAACTTCTAAACGGTTAATCCGATTTAATGAAATTTGGTATGCACAAAGAGGAGGTGTTGTCGAGTTTAGGTTTTGAATTTGGACCTTATAGGCCAACCAGGGGCCCGGCGGGGGGTCCTCAAATTAGGACACCTCGGCTATGTTAAATTTTTAAAACGATCCTATTTCTTCATTTGAGTTCCGATTTAAAAAAAATTTCGTATATAGAATCTCCTCATCGAGCACTATAAAAAATGTCGTCATAGCAGTAAATTATCTCTTATAGTTTAGGAGATATTCGCATTTGAATATTAAAATTTTAAAATTTTTACCGTCCTTACTTTAGTTTTTTTGATAATAGCAGGTCCAAATATTTCCGATTTTCGCCATTTTTTTTATTTGCTTAACAACAAGTTTATATACCAAGCAGTGAAAGAATTATGTAAAAATCATGACTGAGTCCAAAGTTATAGGCATTTAAATTTAAAAAATTAAAAAAAGGCGATTTTTTGTCATTTTTTTGGGAAAAAAGTATCTTTTCTTTTTAAGTTATCTAAAAAGTTTCTAAGAAGATGTATATAGAATTTATACTTTTTGGAAAGCTGACTTTACATAAAATACGATAAATGAAACAAAACCTAAAAATTTTTGATACCGAGGGGACCAGGTCCATCCAAAAAAACCCTATTTTTTATGGAAAATTAAATTTTGAGCAAAAATTCTCAAATCGCATAGTCGATATCAAATTATAGTGACCTGTTTTATATGACCCAATAAGTTCTTAATCATTTTGTAACGGGTTTCGATAACCCCGCCCCTGGTATGGATATAATAGGCAAAAAACCAAAAATCCCATTTTTGGGATTTTTTAAAACTTTTTTGGGAATTCCGGGATTTCTAATAAGAAAATTCGAATTTTTATTTAATTTTGGATTTTGAGTAAAAAAATCTACCTAACTGTAAAATTTCATCAAAAAATATTCATAAATAAAATTTTTATTGCAATTTGAAAAATTTGTATCTTCGCAAAAACTGAATAAAAAACATTTTTAATTTTTTTAGAAAAAAGTATTCCGCGAATTTTTTAATTTTAAAAAATTATATACAGTTTGAAAAATAGACAAAATTACCTTTCCATTGATATATAACATGCCTACCTAATGTTTTTTAAGTGACAAATTAATTAGGGAAAACTCAACATCTTTTAGAAAATTTACCTAGCACTATTATTTTCATCCATATATGTAACAAATTTAAGAGTTAACCTTATGGATGAAATAATAGTGCTA